TTTATAAGATAGTATAGATAATTTTAAAATTACTTTATTTATTAAAATATCTATGAAAATAATTATATAAAAATAAAGAAAATATGATTTAAGTTTATTTATTTATACTATTTAAATAGAGGTGGAACCCATTTTTATTGATATAAATCAATTTACAATGAAGTTGTAGTCTTTGGAGATCCTTCTCAGAATTCACCGTCTCGAGTCTTGTAAGGTTGTTGAGAATTTTGTTGTCTTTTCTTTAGGGCCTTCTTATTAGTTAAGATGTGTGCAATCTGGCTTATGTGGCATTTGTTTTTTTTAAGAGGTGTTGAAGTCTAAAGTCTGATTTATAAGAGGTATTCCTGAAGTCTGAAGTATGGATCAGTAATATTGTTTGTTTTTACGTATGAAGTCTTAAATATGAATTGGTCAAACTAGTGCAAAAATATAAACGATAAATAGTTTTTTTTTAATAAAAGTATAAAAGTTTTTGCTAACAAATTTCTTTCAACCCCCAAAATACGAACCATTTGATAGAGGGCGGATTAGGATTAAGAGGTATTAAGGGGTACGTTTACCACTTAAAATTTCAGAATACATTTAGAGCTTTTAAGCTCTTATTTTAAAAATAAAACAAACGCTTTTAATACCCAAACGTCTGAATGAATCAGACTTAAAATGTATTAAGTGGTAATTTTGAAAAATCAAATATGCCCTTAAACACCCATATTTGATAATTAAAAAAAATGGCTCCTACCACTCGAGTCATTAACATGTTCATGACTGTGTTATATCATTTTTTTTGTCAATTCAAATTTATACTTCTTATACATTTTATAAACTTTCTATCACCAATCATGATTTGATCAAAGATTTATAATTAAAAATTAGTAATCTATTAAAACGACTTTGTGGGCCACAAAAAAACCAGCAGGGGAACCGTGTCACATTCTACATTTTTTTTGTCTCACAAAAATATAACAGAACGAGCAATCATTGGATCCTCCTCTTTCCGGACAACCAATTGGAAGAGAATCAATAGATTCCTTTTCGGGAGGAAATGCACCCGGTGCCGTAGCTAATCGAGCACATACAAAGAGACCCGCCAAGACGCCAACAATCAAATAATTAGTGAATCTCAAAGTGAGATTTATATCATATAATTAGTTTACTTCTCTTCTAGTTTTCTATCTCCCATCTATCTATTTTTTGTCATTCACTACCGCAATTATGATATGGAAGTCGATTCGGGGAACTGTTCAAATCTATTACACATAGCCATGAGGCGCTCAACGGACCTCTTTAATCTTATAAAACCATTTCTGACTTCAGATTGATACAAAAACCACTTTTTGTGCAACTTATGGGCTATTTACCAAAAGCTTACTCAATAAGTGCTTACTGGTAAAATTTAACACTATTACTTACTTATCGGGTAAGATTTTAGTCTACAAAAACACTACCATATGCAATAATTTACCCGATAAGCTCTTACCGTGGTAAGAGTTGTCGCCTTCACTTACCGGGTAATACTCTTGTTCCTTGTCTCGCTCTTACGAGGTAAGATTCTTGGTTCATGCCACATTCATTTGGTAAGGTAATGTAACATGGTAAACTCTTACCTAAGCAAGTGTTTGGTAAACGATCCCTTTGTATATTTCAAATCTCAATTAAAAGTTATTAGATGGAGTTGCTCCATGTTTTTTTAGATCAAGTACTATTACTCTATTCCAAATGATGCGAGCATACATTAGTCATCACTACGAAAATTTTATTTTTTTCTAAGTGGATATTGTAATGTAACGGTTTCAAGACCCATCCATTAAAGACGCTCGTAGCACTATATATGTTCTAAGTGCATAAAAAAAAACTAGATCAAGTTGACATTTGCAGATGTCTCATCCATATTAAGACCATTACTTTTTCAACCCAATAAAACACAGTTGAAAGTTATGTTTATAACAAAAATTTGACAAATACTGATAAATTATCAGCAAAGAGATTATGCTTTACAATGTCTGTTTTTATGGTAAAATAATCTGATCATTTTAACATTTTCAGTTCTTTACAAATAGTTTTTATATAATTCCTTTATTGACTTAATTATTTAAAAACTTTAAAATTTATAAAATTCGTGAGAATTTTCATCTTAAGGTTTTGTTTACATATTTTTATATCCAAGTATAATATTTTAATATATATATGTTTCATATGTTCTCGATTTATAATGTGAAACTTTCTTATATGTATTTTTCGTTTCACAAACACACTTAAAATATTCATATTATGTAAAACAAATAAATTATGAAACAAATAAGTTAATAAAATTTGATTTGATGTACTGGTTTTTAAATATCTCATCTAATTTTTATAACCAATATAATTTATATTATAAATAATAATTAAAACTTGATTTCAAAACTTGATTCAAAATCCCCGAAAGGACTGCCCTCTTTTTTCTTAACTGCTCCACCCACCTTCTTTCATTCAATCAAACACTCTCAAGAACCAAAACCAAAACCGAAACTGAAAACACATCACCCTTCGATTATCTACAAATCCGATGCTACAATCTGAATCAGATTCGAAATCCCGTTTGATCAAAGAGATCTGCGACATATCAAACCATGCCATTTCATCATGTGCCCATCATAACACCTTCGATTCCAACCCTTTCATCGACTGGTACATTCTTCTTCAAGTAAGTCTTCTTGTCCAATTTCTCCTGTTTTTCTGCAATTTAAAAATTTAGTTTGATTGGATCTTCCTTGGACAGGTTGAAGACAATGTGGGTGTTGATATAATCAGAAAAAAGTATCATAAATATGGTGGGTTCTTCTTTCTTTCTTTCTTATGGGATCAAAATGAATACTCTGTAAATAGACTGTATCTCCTTGAATTTACCATCCATGAATACCAAAATAAACCCTAATTACACAAGTTTTAGGAAGCAATTTATGTTTTCTTGTTAACTAGTGATGGGTTTTAAGTTTTAACCCCTAATTAGTAATTTCTGATGAGATCCGATGCATTATGTGCGGGTTTTTATTAAATCTGAATCTATTTTTACAATCTGAATACAATGGTTAATCTGCAGCCTTACTACTCCATCCTGACAAGAACAAGCACCCCAAAGCGGAATTTGCTTTCAAACTCATTTCAGAGGTCTGGTTTACCTGCAACCCTTTACTGAAACTGCACATACATTACAATCTTATAATTTTGAGATATGTGTATATATATGTTCCTTTAATGAGATTTGAACCATTGATCTCCTCGGAGATTGGCAGGCCAACGGCCACTTGATATTCTAAATGACTGTTACAGGCATATGCATGCCTTTCGGACGATACAAAACGATCGGAGTTTGATGTGAGAAGATGGAACAATCTCTGCAGCGAGTGCGTTAAAACACCACAAATGAGAAACAATGTGAAGGGGTCGTCTCCTTCGAATAGGTCAAGGTCCAAAAAGATATCGGCAAGAGTGAAAGAAGTTAAAGCTAGATTGATGGCCGAGGCAAGAGTGATCGAAAAGTGTTTGAAGGCGAACGCAAATGTCAAAGTTTTTGACAAAGAAATGCCGGTTTTTGAACCGGATGATTATGCGACTCAAGGGTACCCTCATTTTCCGGTTTGGAGATCTAACGAACCTAAGAGCTCGAGATCGTGGTTGAAGAAAAGATTCAAATACGAGACTCAACAACAACAGATGAACGTGAAATGTGATTCTCCGGTGTTCGAATGTAGATCGAATAGGTCATCGATCAAACTCAAATCCTTTGGATCGCAGATTTGACTCGTTTCTAGTTTGCAAATTTGGAAAGGTTTTAAGGCTCATTTATTTTTCTTGATCAAGTTATTGGTTAGAATTTTCTACCAGTGAATCTTGAAAACGAGGCCAAGTGCTCTAATAAAAATTATTAATTGGATCAGGAAAAATGTGACCAGTTATGACCTGGTATATTTTCTGGGTATAAAAATAATTTATTGACTTATTCTGATGAGATACCAGTAATAAGCAGTTTCGAGTGTTTGGATAAACAATTTATACTGATGCCAAACCGGTAATAAGGAGTTTTTGAAGATGTTAAACCCTTCTGACTTATAATAAATTAATAAGTGTTTTTGTAGAAAAACATAAATTATTTCAAATAAGCAATCCCAAACACTCCTAGCCTCACTTACCATACCCATTTTTAGTGAGAGAAAGAGGACTATAGTGAAAAAAAGGGGGAGGAATAGATGGTGTGAGTTATGGAGTAGTTGAAATTGGCAGTTGGAAACGATTATGGAATAGTTGAAGGGCTGGTTCTAGATATATTTTTAATATCAATTTAATCAATATGTAGTGGTTTTGAGGGATTGTCTCTAACATAACAGGACAACCATATCAAATACTGACCGTTTTATTATTACATAGACTTTCAATTTTAAAACGTGATTGATAGAGGAAATATCCGGTCGATTATAAGGTTCCCCTCTCCCACCGATGTGAGATCTTACAGTGTGAGAATGAGGGGTATGGCGACTTGGTGAGAATGGTGAATTTTTTTTGAGTATTGAATTAGTTGATTTTTTGATCCAACTTAGTTTTTTTTCAAATTATATTCTACCTTCAACTATCTTTAAGTCACTTTTACGAACTTTTGCATATATTTAATTACTTTCACATGCATGAATTTGTTACCGTAATGATAAAAATTGGTAATTAAGGGTAGTTGAAAATATATATGAATGCATAGATAATTAAGAACATATATAATCTATAAAACTAAGCATGTTGTTTGTGTCGAATTCTATTATGACAAAGACTGTTCCCAACAGTTAGGAGATGAAGGAGTAATATGGTAATAAGTTTCAGTGGGATTAAAAAACAAAATGATGCTTGAGAAAAACCTTCGCCTGGATACGAAGTTGTAGTTTGGTTTTAGGCATACTTTGACCTATCAAAATTAGGTTTACTAAAGGGATGTTTTCAATTTCTTATTATGCTTGAAACTAAGTTCCCTTTTTTCTTGTGAGATCGATTACTTGTCTTCAACACAATTTGTGACAACTACAAACTCATGATAGCTATAGCATGAACACAAATGCTCAATCGGCAAACTAGCCATGGCGTAGTCTACAATCCTAGATTCATCTCAAGGTTTGTAGCGAAAAACAAACACGACTGCTGGAATTCATTTCATAATCTAAATTGAAATCTAAAGCATATATCTAACTATTTAGATAATGCTCACATTCTTCACACCACCCGTTTCACCTTTTTCCCTTACCCTTTCAAGAGCTTTCAATATGGTATCTACCTGAAAAATGTTTTCAGTTTTATAGAAACGAGGGTTATAGTGAATTCTCTCTGACACATGGATACACGCTGAAATATTTCATTATAAATCATAGTTGAATATACCAGTGTACACACTTAAAATATAAAACACCATACTCGTTGCAACGGTTGAACATACTAATTGTCATGCACGCTTGTGACTAGTCAATTGGGCTCACACTTGCTCTATAAGTGAACTACATGAAACGAATTCATGTGCTCCATTCGGGTAGACACTTCCCATAAATCAAAACATCATAATACATGCCCACACCAAGAACTCACACTATGTAAATAATCTTTTTTTTCCATGTATATGATGCACACTATGTGAATTCCATTAATAACAATTCCAATATAATTTGATGAGTATATGTTTATCAAAAATAAGAAGAGGAGCTCACTTGAAGTCTGAGCGTAGACGTACACTCTTAATCTAGAATCACACTACACGAACACCTGAATTTGGATTTACTAAAAGACATGTTAAAACCCTCAAAGGACCTCCAATTAAACCATTAATAAACCCCTCAAACAAGGGCACAAGCTACACCTCCAAACTGCTCTTGAAACACACACACACACACAAAAACTAGATTTTCAAGCTCATCAAAAGAGGGAAGAAATGAAGACCCATCCATTTTAACCCAATATTTACACTATAGTCCTTGCAAATAGAGTCACACTTGAAGTTCACCCTTCAACATCATTAAAATACTCAAACTAGGGGTGGCAATGGGTCAGGTTAGGTTGGGTTCGGGTTCAGCCCATTTATTAAACATGTTGAAAATCTCAACCCAACCCAACCCATTTAATTAAATGGGTTGAGATTTTTCAACCCAACCCAACCTGTTACTTAAATGGGTTGACAACGGGTTGACATGTTTATGATTTTCTTAACCCAACCTGTGAAATAAATGGGTTGAACCTGGGTTGACCCATTTAATTTTAAAATTTTAAATAAAAAAAAACTAAACTATTTAACTTTTTTGAATAAAACATAACACAACCACAAATACAATCAAATTGTTCAAAGTTTGAATAAAACACAACCACAACAAATATATTGTTCAAAATAAGTTGAATTTTTTTTTAAATTTTAAGTAACTCGACTTCCACTTTCATCAACCCCAATTTCACTCTCGGTATTACTTTCTTCTTGATCTTCTATCTTCTCTGTCATGATTGTTATACATAGCGCCTCAAGATGCGATTCCATTTGTACTATGTATAAATTAAATTACAAGTTAGGAACTGTTTGATTCTATCAACAAAACACAAACGAAAGTCGAAAGATCCTTTATTTTAGCTCCACAATGGTAAATGACTTTGCTATCGCTCAAGCCTCAACGCCTCAACCTCAAATCGAAAACCGAAACCAACCGAAATCTTTGATTGGAGAAGGTAGAACTCAAAAGAAGGGGCGAAGATTGATAAAATCGACTGAAAAAGATGAAGATATGAAGATGCGAGACTCATGATACTGTATTACTGATATTGTATGAACGATTGAAAATCGAAGCGTTGTTTAACTCGTGAGTTGTGACACTGAAACTTGAGCCAATTTATTTAAGAAGAAACAAAATAAAAAATTAATATAATATTTTAAGTAGGTTGAAAACATGTCACAAAATTCAACCCATTTATTTAAACGGGTTAGACGGGTTGATCCATTTATTTAAATGAGTTGAAAATCTCAAACCAACTTGCTAATTTTGGGTTAAGTTCGGGTTTGATTAATGGGTTGGGTCATTTTTTGCCGCCCCTAACTCAAACTAGAACTTGAGTTCATTAAAAGAATTCCATCCCCAGAATTCCTCTATACGAACAATTGGGAATATTTGGTCTTCATATCCAACTCAGCTCCCACGTAGTATCCTGTCCTTATGAAATCTCCAATGTACCTTCACAAGCATAAATTAATAGAATAGTATACTTATAATTAAATATGCTATTTTATTATTATTATTATTATTATTATTATTATTATTATTATTATTATTATACTATGAACACGGAAAGGAGAGAGAGATGGCCGGGACAAGGTATTTTTGCACATATTTAACGTTTAATAAATATAAATTAAGATATATGTTTTTGCAAACGGGGTTATGTATATGGCAACTTTTAAGATGTCGGGCCATTAAGCCCATTTATTTATAGACCAAACAATTTGTAAACATCTCCATTAAGCCCATTTATTGAGAACTTTTCAATACCTTTCATTTGGCAAAAACTTTTCACAACTAAAAAAAATATGAATTTGGATTAATAGGTAAATGAAGTGGGTTTCGTGTGCATCTTTTATATTTAGTCTAGTTTGGTTTACATAATTAACAATTAAGCTTTTTCAATGAGTCATAGTTTTTTTTAGCTTTTTTCATTCAGACAACCTTTTTATTAAAGGACAAGGAAAAGCTCGCTTTGCCGAAGATTTGAGAATCGATCGACCAAAAGAGTCTGGATGCAACACCCAAGAAGATGTTTTTAACGTTTCGAATATATCTTTTAATATACTTATCAAATATCAATTTATAAGAGGCTATTTATTAAACGCTTACTGCCTCTTATTGGGTAAGACATTCCCCGGTTAAAGATGATTTTTATCAATAATCTTAGTGTGTCATTTTACAAACTAAGAATCTTACCCACAAGAGGTAGTGTGAGCCGTGGTGGATAAAGACAAAAAATCAGCTAGGGCTTAAATCCTGATATCTCTCTTTCTCTCTCTCTCTCTCAATATATATATATATATATATATATATATATGTTCGTGGGTGCATGTAGATTTATTTCAGGACCATAAGTCATGACCTGCGATCGGGTTAGTTGGACCATCCACTACCCGTTAAACTGTTACCTTAGTTAGTCTTGAGGGCCGTTTACCAAACGTTTACTCGGGTAACCGTTTACCAGTAAAGTCAACACTATCACTTACTTACCAGGTAAGATTTTAGTCCACTAAAACGGTATCATACGCAACAATTTATTCGATAAGCACTTACCGTGGTAAGAATCGTCACCCTCACTTATCGGATAAACTCTGGGTCCTTGCCTTCGCTCTTAGTAGGTAAGAATAAGATTTTTGATCCTTATCATATTCATCGGGTAAGGAAAAATTACTCAGTAAACGTTTATTGGGTAAGTGTTTGGTAATTAATCTCGAATGAATTAATTAGCAATAATAAAATAAACATGTATATATATTTATTCACAATAATGAATTGTAGAAGCTACCCCTCTCATCCACAGAATGAAGCATAGATTCTTCCTGCACTTACAAGCTAAGAATCTTATTCTTCCCCATCATCGTCAGCACATGCTTGTATGGAGATTGATAATGTTATCTGAATGCCGTTAATTAATCAATTCTTTATTCCCCCATTAACTATCTGACCGGCGCCAAAAACTAAAAATGTCGTTTTCTCACGGACGTCCGCCCCATTCTTTCTAAACAATTGTACATGCATTTGGATTTTCGTCACTGAAAATTGAGGTAATATTACCATTCCCGCTGCTGCTGCTGCTGCTGTGGTGATACTCACCACTGTAGTGAGTATAATGTGGTGGTGGCTCTGGCCGGCCGTAATTTGTATATGGTTGTGGTGGTTCTGGTCTGTTGTACTGTGTGTACTGTGGTGGTGGCTCGGGTCTGCTGTAATGTGTGTATAGCGGTGGTGGCTCTGGTCTGTTGTAATGTGTGTACTGTTGTGAGGGTTCGGGTCTGGTGTAACGTGTGTGCTGCGGTGGTGGTTCTGGTCGGTTGTAATGTGTGTATTGTTGTGATGGCTCGTTTCTGCTGTAATGGGTAGGGTGCGGTGGTGGTTCTGGCTTGCTGTAATGTGTGTACTCTTGTGGTGGCGCGTGTCTGCTGTAATGCCTGGGGTGCGATGGTGGTTCTGGTTTGCTGTAATGTGTGTACTCTTGTGGTGGTTCGGGTCGGCTGTAATGTGTGTATTGCGGTGGTGGACGGATGTATTTATGTTCAGTGACATAGGGTGTAGGTTTGTATGTGTTGTAGCTGTGGTTCACATGGATGGGTTGTTGTGGCTCATGATGCTTATATCGTGGACTAGGTGTAGTACTCGAGTAATGTTCCACGGACGCATTATAGAACACTCGATCATGACCGTATCTATAGCTGTGGTCTGAAGGGTAGTGATGCACGACGTGAACATCTTCAGGTTCTTTTGATCCGGAAGGTTGTGGTGGTTGTTGTCGTGGCGGAGAGTCTGTAGATGGTGGTTCTTGCGCCGGTGTGGGTGGTTCTGTTGCCGTTACCGGTGCCTGTGGTGGTTCCGATGTTGCTTCTTCAAGTGGTTTTTCTGGTTCTTTTGGTGGTTCAACTAGTTCTTCTGGCGGAACTGTTTCTTCTGGAGGTGGGTTTGAAGGATCAGGAGGTGGTGCTCCACCTTCCGACGGTGGTTCTGTTGGTGGTGCTTTTTCTGTATCAGAACAAATGGTTGCAGCTTTCCTTGTTTTCTTGATCGCCTTGACTATCTTTTCAGGGTCAGCCCATCCAATTATGGTTAGTTTCTGTTGAGGGATGTCAATATAGATATCGTATATGCCTGAAAACATAATCAAAACGATCATCAACAGAAGAACGAGATCGATAAAGTACCGATGAGGTCAAGACCATCAAGTTACTCACCATTGATGCCATGCAAAGCTTTTTTGATCTTCTGAACGCATCCGTTACAGTCTATTCGAACCTGGATCTCAGTGACTCGAGGTTTCTGCATTCATTAAGTATATATCATATGGGATTTAAAACCTTGATCAAATTCAATGTAATTAACTAAAATTGAAGAGAAAAATCTACCTCCATTTGATCTGGAACCATACTGTGGAGATGGAGAACCCTCGAAAAGATGGTTATTGATTATGGGGAGGGTGGAAAATAAAGAATCAAAATGTGGCATTTTATTAGTGCATGGAGGCCACCCGAATATTTAAAAGGCATACCCTATAATTATATATAGAATCTGGATTCTACGTATGGAAATAGAAGCACAATTTAATATAATATAATATTGCACCTTTAATTCGTTTTTATTAAAAAAAAAACATAAATATTGAATATTTCTAAATAACTTTTAACAGGACATCTAATCTATCATCATGTTAAATTTTGGTTTATAAGCAGAGTCCATAAGATTTTGTTGGGGTCTAATTTTACTTGGGTTTGATGCCGGGATTTATATAGCCCAACCTGCATACTCACCTAAACAAAATCAAACGTGACTATATATTTAACTTCAGAATTTGCGTACCAAAATGACATAATTCAATAAAATTTGAAATTACTTTTTTCGAACTATCAATTATTAAATAAATATTTTTGAACTAAAAATCATTAAATGTGCATTTTGAAATTATGTATTTAAAAATAATAATTAAAAGATTTGTATTTTCTAAATTTATAATATTTATGGGTTTAATATTTTTTATTGGAGAGCTTTAGAAAAAGTGTAGGTTGATTGGAGCTTAGACGGTTGATCTAAAACGAATTTTTCTTTTTGTAGAAAGCAATGACAATGAACAAAAGCTACTCAAAAGTTGGCCATGGACAAAGTTTTCTTTATAGAAAGATTATTAAGACACACAACAAATATTAATAACCTAAATTAATTAATGAACTCGAAACTTTCACATTATATGACGACGTTAACCAAATGGCTTAAGGTCGGGTGAAGTCAACTAAATGATAATTTGTATACATAGGGTGGAATGAAACCCTGATCAGTAAACATGGAAAAATACTACTTTGAACCGTCGTTTCTAAATGATAACAAATAACAATATCGAAAATCGTACCAACCATAAAAAGCAGTTATGAATTAAAGTTGGTTTAGAGGTTGGCCATTAGCATTGAGGTGAGATTTGGGGTATGAAGGTCAACATGGTTGATGATGAATGTCGATTAATTAATTAAAGTAGCTTTAGACGTTGTGAGGTTTGGATATCCACCATTAGATCTCATCGAATCTGGCCTTTTGTTACAAGCAAGACATCTTCTCATCATTAATTTCACATTATTTTCAATTTCTAAAAACCATTTTCTTTTAACCTGAATATCCAACCTGCTATACGAGACGACTAACTTGGGGTAATTAATAAAAAAGTATGAGATCCAACCTTAATCAACTTTTTGCCAACCCCACAGACTTTTAAGAACATGAATGAATCAAGTGTTTGGAACCTGTGATTCCGGGCTTCTTGCTCAACTTTTGGTTGATGCATGCTTTTTGGTTTGTAATTTGAGCAACTTCTATGAAAGCATAAAAAAAAAAAGATGATTCCAGCTGATCATGTAATCGACATTTGCTGGATGCTTTTGGGTTCCTAATTAATTCCAACCAATTAATCTCTGGAAGATCTTTAGATGTCTTTTGCAAATTAAAGCAATTTTTGAGTAAAGTCTTGAATGATTAGGAGCTTTTGTAGCTTGCATTTGTACGGGAATAAACCCATGTTTCTGTATGTTCATATACAGGACAACATGTACAAAAACTGTAGATTGTGTTAGCAAATGGTACGTACCCAATACCTCAACCCTAATTATAATTGTAGCATTCTGCAGGAGCTTATTATACGAGGCCGGGCTAATCAAACCCTGCTCTCAAACTGCATCTAATAGCTAAATACTACTCGATTTATTAGAAGAAAACTAGTGCCGTAACTCAAAAAACATTACAACAAAATTGAGTTTATAGGATGCCGTCAATTTCTAAACGTCCTAATTAATGTTTAAAATCTATAATTTGAAAAAAAAGTTTATTTAAATATTTACATTTTAATGTATTGTTTAAAAATACGTTTCAAAAAATAAACAAATTTCTTAACCATATATAGCTAAAATAGTTTTTTTCTAAAGGGTTAAATGCATGAAATAACAATTTACTTTCATAATTTTTCTTACTACGGTATATAGTATTTTCGTTTTTCCTTATTACAACAATGCACTTTCAAAATATTTTTTATTAGATTATCGTACTTTGAACAATCTACCCATTATAGCAATGAACAATCTGTTACATTTTAAACCGGATAACCCCTTGTTTTTTTTTTGTTTCCTTGGCTTAAATAAGATGATGTGGATAATACATCATTTTCATTGCTAAAATTAAAAAAAAAAACATTTCAACCTTTTTTTGAACTTTTTTCTTATTAAATTTTATGTAAATAATTAAATATTCTAGAGTAAAATATTTTTTAAAATAAATATGATATATTATTTTTCAGATAACTATTTTGTTTGTAAAAAAATAATACTTCTTATTTTATCTTGTTCAAAAAATAATACATGTCTTTTAAAGTTTTTTTTAAATGTTAGCCAGATAAATTATGCTCTACAAGTTTTTATAATATTGTTATATTAATGAATAATTCAAATATCTAATTAATCTAAGATACGTGTCAAGTAAATTGTTTTAAACAAGTATAATATATATTATTTAAAAGATAAATATTTTTTTGGTAAAAAAATGTAACAATTCTTATTTTTTTCTCCCAAAAAGTACATATTTTTTTTAAAATATCAGCGAGATAAATTGTATTTTACTAATTTCTTAATATTAGAATAGTTAGTGAACAATTTAGAAATTTTGTAATTCATTTAATAGATTTGATTAAATTATATGTAAAATCAATTTTTTTTCAAAGTATAATGTTGTAATATGAAATGTCATGTCAACAAAATTTTATATGTGGACATCCCATGTGACAAAGATATGACATGAAAACCTGGTAATTTGTATACTCGATAAATTTAAGTCAAAAGATTATCCAATGCTATTATAGGTTAATTTTTTAAAGTACAATGTTTAAATAAAAAATATATTATTGTAATAAAAAAAATTGAAAGTACAACATTATTACATTTTTTTTATAAAAATAAATTGGTATTTAATGCATTTTATTCTTTTCTATATTAATGACTCTTAGGCATATATTTGAAAAGCCACAAACTTTTAATTAAATGAAAATATATGTTATTTAAAGAATGGTGGAGCAGGTATCTCAATCGACTATTTGTCTTGGAGCAAGGAGAAAAGGTTTTGGAGTCATGATCACGTTGAATTTTTTTTTTTTTTGAAATGAAGCATATTATTAAAAATGCAAAACAATATACAACAAATTAGGGATGTAAATGATGTGAGTCAAGCTCGAGTATCACTATATTCGACTCGAACTCAAAACCCAATTTCCAAGCTCAAACTCGACTTGAAAACTTTCGAGTAGTAAAAATCAAAGTTCGACTTAAACTCGATAACTATTTCTTAAGCTCAAACTCCAACTCAAATCAATATTGAACTTGAACTCGAATTAAGCTCACACGTTGAAATTTCATTCACCCCTCTATTTTTTATAACATATTTTCTTTCTTCCTTTACCATTTTTTTTTCAACGTGGGACAATTTCACTAATATTTTTTATAGTTTTTCTTTGTCTTTTTTAAATTGTGATTTTAATAAAAAATAATTGATTAATTTTTATAATTAAAAAATGCATAACTTCGTTTAAATATCTAAAAAGCATAAGACATTTTTATTATTTATATTTTACAATTTTTATCATAAAAACTGATTATATTTTAAAACTAATTATATATAAAATAATGGAGTATCTCACGAGCTTTTCGAGTGGAGTATTAGGTAGCTTGACTCGACTCGGCTCGTTACTATGTCGAGTTGAGTTCGAGCCGAGCCTATTCGAGTCGAGTTTTCACCGAATTTTGACCGAGTCGATCTCGAGTAGCTCGTGAATTATCTCGTATCATTTGCACCTCTAGAGCAGATATAAAACAACTTTGAAATACAGTTAAGAAAAGACCGGAAAAAGGCTAAATACAACAGTCGAGCACCTAAAAAAAAGACCAAACATTGCAAAACAAGGTAGAAAGTAAGGAACCCCACAAAATCGAAAGGCGCAAAGGTAGACCAGAGGCAAAAGCGAGCAAAGAAACCACCGAACAGACCTCATGAAGAAAGACAACACAATGTTGTATGACTTTTTCCTAAACACACAATGTTGTTACGATGACCGCAAATTAGATAGCTCGTCGCCCAAACAGTTGGTTGCCAAATCTTCTTCAAACACTTGTTAATACTGTATTATTTATATATTAACCATCTCGATCGCATTATTCATTATATAATGCGTGTACCCTTGTTAATTAATTCAAGAATCTAAACCATGAATCTTGAGTGAAATTAGGGACGTAGCAACAACAAGAAAAGGCAAGGGTAAAGAAATCTGATAATTTAAGCAGCTTGAGGTACGTACAAAAACATCAGCTGATAGCATTTATTATACAAAGCGAAACCAAGGACAAAACACAAGTATTTGATCAATCCCCAGGATATATGTAATTAATCCAATTCTTTCACTATATTATGATTTCTCTATTTATAAAACCAGTAGATACCCTTTTTCTCTCCGTTAACCTCTTCTGGTTCGATAAAGATGCAGTCTTTTGTTTCTCGCCAAACCGCCTCTAGAATGGGGGTATCGTCGTATTTGTAGTAATCACCCAAGATCGGCATCACGGCCAGCCTTGCCTCGAAAGTATGGTAATGTGGGATGGTTGGGAACAGATGGTGTACGGCGTGAGTTCGGGTTACATCATGGAAAGCATGGTTCAAGAATCCAAAGTTTCTGTCCACAGTGGCTAAAGCACCTCTAAGCCAGTCCCATTCAGTGGAATCGTAGTGAGGGATGGAAGGGTGAGTGTGRTGTAGATATGTCAATARGATGAARAAYCCACTCATAAAAAGGATGGGCATTCCGTAGAAGTTGATCACCCATTCTGTGCCCTTTATYAACGCAAGACGGTATACC